AAGGTTCACTTGGAGGCATTTAATGTGCCTCGGATTTGTGAAGTTTTTGGGGTGAGATGCCATTACTTGCGGTCTTTTCGGCCGCGAGAAGCCACCTTCTTCCCCCTGTTGCCCTTCAGCAAGACGCTTCTTCGGCCGTCTTTGCATCTCCCTTGCCCTTGCGGCTGGAAATAACCGCTTTGGAGCTGCCATGTAGTGGTGGCCGTTTTGAAGGGTTTGGGGATGCGATGGGTCCGACGTTCTTTTGGGCTTCTTCCAGCACCTGTTGTGGGGTCAGGCATGTTGTTGTTGCTGTTTTCGGAGGCGTTGTTGGAGCTTTATGTATTACGTGTAGCTCTGTTGGGTCTATACCAGTGTAAACCTCCGATGACTTCTGCTGCACTTTCGTGTCAGTGGGTAACTGCCTGGGAGCTACGACGACGTCTTTAGAGCAGCAAGGTTGTTTCTCCGAGTTACGGTAATCAGTATCGGCGGCATCTTTATCTACCACGGGCATCGACGGTTTGGCTTTCTCCCTAAGTTTTACTACGCGAAAGCCATAGTTTACCACGTTCCCGCGGTGCTTTAGCGTGTCTGGTGATTGCGGGTCAACTGCCACGGTGATTTGCGCCATTTTTAACCTGCGGACTCGATTCAGAATACGCCAGTCCGGAATTCTCAGGCCGTCATTCTGTGCCTGAAGCAGAATGAGCGCATCCTCACTGGCAGAGCTGTCCAGCTCCGGGAAGAGTCCTACAAGAATGATGCGGCGGGGTGTTTCTGCCTCCTCGACCACTTTCATCTTCGCCTCCTTCCATGGAGCCAGCTTTGGAACAGTGTTCCGTATCCACCCTGCGGTCGCAGCCTCTCTGCAACTGATGGATAGCCATCACGAGTGGAAGGTGCAACCCTTGAAGATAGGCTTTACAGCGCTAACTGTGTTGCTCCTAACCGCCCTGAGGATGGCATTTTGGATAGCTCTGAGCTCATCCGTTGGCCACACTGTGGTTGGATAGTCCTCTGGGACTATACCCAGCTTCAGTTGCATTGTGACGAATAGTGACCATGTCAATAATATGGATGAAATAAAAACAGGGCTAATCTTGTTAAATAATTTTAATGGAAATCTGACCAACAAAAATGTAACAAGTCACGTAAAACAGTCATATCTTGTAAGGTATTTCAACGAAACCATAAAGATTAATAACCTAAGTTTTACTGCTCTGGAAGCACATAGCCTGAAACCGTTGCCTCCGCTAATCCAGCATTCGAATTCACGCTCAGAGTTTGAGGAGGTTCTATCTCTTAAATTCATGAAGGAGCTAAATGTTAGGAATATAAAAAAAAAAAGTTCCCTAAACCTTTTGGTAAAATCCGTTATGGTTACACACTTTGGGATATTGGCCATAATTATAGCCATAATTGCAATATTAAAATGCAAGAGGAGCAGAAGCTCCGAAATAATCATCCATAAACCACAGTCCATACAAATGCCGGATATACAAAATATTCGTCACAGGAGTCTTAACGACATTCCATACCACACTTTGTTAAAGCCATTTCCACACAATCAGCATATTATCATGCGATTCCGTTCCCACACAATTCCACCGGCAAAACGCTCGCATCATATTGCAACCAAAAATGCAATTGCGCTGCACGCGCATCCGCCGTCTTAGCTAAGGAAATTAAACACCTTAGTTGAGCGAAACACGCGCAACTAACAAACCAAACACTTCAGGTGAGGGAAACACGCGCAATCCCCATTCTGCTGACCAGGCATCTTTGGTCACGTAGGCCGGCTCAGGCTTAGGTTAGTTTGTAAGCGGTAGCTTAAAGATAAGTTAGTCTTGAACTCACTCGCGAGCTAAAGGCACATAGTGCCGCCTAACGAAGTTTGGAATAAATAAAGATTAAAACATAAACTTAAGTCTCCCGTTTTATTTTATACATGTATTCCAAGTCCTTAGGATGGGTTAAATTATGCCTTTTTCGTGAAAATTTTTGGTTTCTTACAAATTATGAGATGTATACGTAAAAAATTAAAATTGGATACATTTGGATACATTTTTAGCTTGGTCAGTGATACATTTTCTTGAGACGGCGCGGCAACACTGGGTATGAAGCGCCGACCACTGGTATAGATACACGCGCATATGAATATGTGTATATAAACCCCGTAGCGAATGCAGAGCTGTAAAAATTTGCAATCAATTTTTTTTGTAGCAATCAATGATTGTGTTACTAATAGGATTACAATCAAAATTTACTGCATTTTTCTGATTGTAAGAACTACAATCAATTTAATTGTAAGCACATTTGATTGCAATGATTGTGATTGCAATCAGATCACTGATTCAATCAAACATTTTAATTGCAATCTCAAAAATGCAATAATTTATTCATGCTTTTTTAATAAAGAAATTGAGCCGAGGATCAGCCAGGCTGGGGGCCCTTCACCAAGCCCAGTCGCGAACGGAGTGGTCCGGATACCAGGCGACCTTCGGAGCCAACTAGCCTTACCCGGATACAGCGATCTCTGCCCGGGCGGACGTGAGATAGGGCGTTCTTAAAACAAATTCTGAAGTAGAGCGTTATTGAACAATTTTCTGAGATAGGGCGTTTTTGAACTGGCTGCCGAGATAGGTCGATCTTCCACTCAGCCACCGATACGTTATACTACTAGGGATGGTTGAAAAACACGATGGAGGTGCTGTTTAGTTGCAGCTTTGTCATGCAGAAAATCGAATTTTTATGCATGCACATTGTATATGCTCTCGATTAGCGGAACATTAAAGTCGGCAATCAAAACAACCTACTGCTAGGTGTAATGCCGTGAGGGGGTTCACTTTGCGCTGCGTTAACCCACTGAGGGCTTGTGTGCCTCACCATCGTACTTCCAATTATTCATCAAAATAAATGTCATTTAGACAGATTGCAGTTAGCATTTTTTATGCAATTAATGATTGCAATCAAAAATTAATTGCAATCAAAAACTTATTGCAATCAATTTCTTCTAAATGATTGCAAATTTAAATTTTTGCAATCAAAATATAAGCAATCAACGTTAATTGCAATTAAACCAAATTGCAATATTACGTAAAATATGCGATTGCAATCCAATTTGATTGGAATTTTTCACAGCCCTGAGCGAATGTCAGTCACTTAAGAGTCTTGTACGGAAAAGTTACGTCTTCAATGACCTTGGGCTCCGTTTGTATGGAAGTCGTTCATGACTTTCTCATATAACTGGTAATTTCGTCGTTGATGTCATCTGCATGACTTGGTCATGCAGTAATAACTAATGACATTCAAGCGACTTTATCTTGCAATGGAATTTTTATAAGTAACCCCTGCAGACATTGTCTGTTATAAGTCTTTGATAGGAGTACACCTGCATGACATCGTCACCTGTGTCATTGTCAGCTATATGTCGTTTAGGATTCACAGCAAGTGCGACGATGTCACTAAATCGTCATTAGTGACGATGTCACCAGTGACCATTTTCGCTACTGGAAAAGTTACCAGATATTCGTGTATGTTCATTCGGTCTATGTACCGCACATTAGGGTGGTACGCTATATTTAGTCCGGAGGACTTAACAGTCCATACATACATACATACTATTTCAGCTCTCTAAAAGGAAATAAACAAATTTATAAACGGGTTCCTCTTCGTTGAACAATAAATTTTATAAAATATAAAATAGATAAACGTTTAAGGAGCTTAATTTGGTTGAAATGTGTGTTCTGCACACTTGTATTTATTTTAAATGGTTTGTTATCGTACATTTTGTTAGATGAAATTTTCAAATTTAACAACAAATTACTCGTAAGCTATGAGTTTCCTCGCCATCAGGTTTTCAGGTTTGTAATGTGTACGACCCCCTCAACACCCCCTATAAAGTCATTTTTTTCTAATGCAGCGTTTTTGCTGCATTTAAAATGCAACATTTAGCACTTTCGAACATTTATCTTCGAAGAGCGTTCATGCTATCGCATTTAGCAAATGTACATTTACGCGAGTTCGAAATCGTATGCTTTTGACAAACAGCCGCGTTCCAGTCGCGTATTCAGATCCGTATCTATTACGAACAATTCTCACGCAGAAGATAATGTGCAAAAACCCTACTAAAAAGGAAAAAATAAATTTTAAACCAAAAATTCAATACAAAAACTTGAATTGTTTTAACCATAACCGAGAATTTGTTTATGTATATATTTATTTGTTGGTGCTGCTAAAATTTCCTCACTTAATTAGGAATCAAAGCAAACAGAGTTGATCACAAATTGATCCAGGGCTCGAATCGTAACAGTCGTGAAGGAGCAACTCGTCACGTAAAAATTACAAAATCGGATTGTGACAGACGTGAACGAACTTCTCATATCGTAATTCGGTATTATGACAGGCGTGAACGAGCGAGTGAACATACTCGTTCGTTCGAACTGTCATTCGATTAATATTTGACGAACGTACGCGCGCAAAATTTGATAAAATTTTTTTAAAAATGTAAGTAATTATAAAATTTGTGCAAACATATACAAGTTTATAGCTATTTTTCTTATTTTAGGACCAACTACAATAAATTAAACTCTACGCAGAAGAAACTCATGGCGGAGTTCATGGCCGAACACCCTGACTTGGCAAAGAATTTACTCCCAAACTGCTCGCAGGGAAAAGCAACGGCCAACCGTTTGTGGGAAAACCTCACCAAACAATTACATGTGGTGGACCTTTTCAGGAGTCATGGGCTGCACCTCCATATTGACAATTTATGGCAAGACGGAATATTAGCAATAAAATGTTAAAATGAAAGAAAAGAAACATAACACATAGACTATAGCATAACGTTAAGACTATGGTAACCTTTCCTGTTGAAGTACATGTGCTCTTCTCTAATTGGCTTTTGTAATCCAATGTGTGTTCCGTCTACGCATCCAACCACTAAAAGGAAAAACATTGGATTCACTACGCATTTCATTAGAACGCCTCTTGCTACCTCCAGGTACTTTATATTTTTCCGCAAACCACTCCTTACATCTTTAAGATTCGTTGGGCTGGAACTTTATAAATTCCGGACACAATTTGCTTTCCATTTCTTTTAAGACGTTGGACGTCAATTTTGATACCGTGCTCTGGCACATACCTATCAGGTAATCGCTACCAACTGTGTGCTGATAGTTACCACTTGCAAGGAGCAAGAGGCTTGCAGCCAATTGCAAAGCAGCAGGAACGGCTTTTGTGTCATCGCAGTTTATGTTTGTTTTCGATAAAACATACTGGAATGCCTCCTTGCTTAACCGAAATCTTTTGATGAATCTGCAAGTATAGAAGTAGAGAAGGTAATTTATTTCCTATGTATAATTACTTACGCGTTGTCGGATAATGCCAATGGATTACTTCTGCCCCGAAGTTGCTTACGCACAACTCTTTCGTCATTTTCGCTTTCGCTAGAGCTTAAATAAAATAACAGGCTCGGATCCATTTTAGTTTTGCCGCTTTTCTTTATTTACTTTTCACTTATTTTGACACTTCAATGTCTATTGTGACTTAAAAAAGGAAGAAGAAGAGAAAAATAATCGATAACCAAATAAACAATAACGATTCGTTCGCCTTCGATTGTTATCATCCGATAACATTCGATTAAACGATCACGTAATTTGTGTTCGTACGATTGCCGACTCGTTCACGTCTGTCACGATTCGACCCCAGATTTCTATCAGCATCACATCGATGTTGAATTTGCTTAACTTTTCTTTATCCAAATATTGTAAAATAGTAAATGAAATCTCGATCGGCGATCACTGAAACGCAGCTAGCCACTGCCCTGCAAAAACGGCTGACCATATCGAAAAGAAACTATCGATTGTACTTCATTGTTATCTGTGGTGCAAAATAGAGAAGAAGTCGGTGAATTTGAAAAAATAATTAATGAAAATCAGTGTATAGAATTTGTATATAAAAAAATTTGCAAAAAACCTCTTTAGCGCTATGTGGATAGAGAAGAAAAAAATTGGGGCCAGTGTGCTTAGGCCGACTTAGACCGAACGGCGCTGAGGCATTTGTTTTTAGCGACGAAAATTCAGACCACTATTAAAAATGAGAAGAATTATCTGAGCTCATAGCTCTGAAAAAGCTTGTGAAATTAAGTTAATATCCGACAATATATTTTTACAAATAAAACAAACACATAAACTAAATCGAATTGTACATTTTAATTTGGTTTCATGTATTTTTGGACATTTCGCTGCCATCTATTCACTAATTTATCAACTATTTAGATGTTAAAATAGTGGTCAGAAAAATCACTAATTATCGCGATATTTTCCCTTTTACGCGTAAGCAAAAACATCCCATAAAAGTATATTTAGCGCATTTAGCTCTAAATGCTACTTTAAATGTACATTATGCGTAAGCAAAAACAGCCCCTAAAAGCACATCTAGCGCATTTAGCTCTAAATGCTACTCTAAGGGCCGGTTGCTCAAAGCCTGGTTGACACTAATCCCTGGTTAAACATCGTTATCGACGTTACCGACACCGTGTTATATGCATGGAGTCGAAAACGTCGATAACGATGTTAACCGATGATTAGTGTCAACCAGCCTTTGAGCAACCGGCCCTAAATGTACATTTATCCATATTAAGGGCCGGTTGCTCAAAGCCTGGTTGACACTAATCCCCGGTTAAACATCGTTATCGACGTTACCGACACCATGTTATTTGCATGGAGCCGAAAACGTCGATAACGATGTTAATCGGTGATTAGTGTCAATCAGGCTTTGAGCAACCGGCCCTAAATTCGTTACCTAAATGCAACTAAATGCAACTCCATTTTTGCATTAAGAATCTAAATGCTAAAAGCAACCCTGGGATCTTCCAAAATTTCCACGGCTCGAACATGGTTTAATGAAAAAAAGTGGCAACATTGCTTTTTCGAGTATACACCCTGCAAGAAGCCTGACGCATTTAGCTGTAAATGCTACCCTAAATGTACATTTATCCATACAAAATTCGTCACCTAAATGCNTTTTAAATACACACGTTCTTACGGACACAATTATTTTGACGACAGCACGACATCTTGGCTGCAGGACTGCAATTGTCGACGTCGCCAAATTAAATCTATTTCTAATTTTGCCGGCGACAATGAGTAGATGTAGTGCTGCAAAATTAAATTGTCGCAAAATTAATCACATATTCTTGATTGTTCATGTTTTTCTTATTTACTTAAATAAAAATACACAATTTGTGAAATAAATATACCAAAATGTCAAACTTTAAAATCGGCTGTTTGCTATGTCGCTGAGGTCTTCAAAATGTTTAAGAAGCTGGCTTCAAGGCGACATTTGTCGACAAAATGATGTCGCTGTCGTTACGTCGTGAAGTTGCAGTCGTCAAAGTGTTCCGAGCTTAAAGGCTAAAAGCAACCCTGTGCCCTTCAAAAATTTCCACTATTCGAACATTTTTTACTATACAGTTGCTAGCTGCGTTTAAGTAGGCGAGGTTTCATTTATTATTGTACATTATTTGGAAAAAGAAAAGTTGTAACAAATTCAACATCGATACTGATAGAAATCTCGCTCAATTTGTGATCAACTCTGTTTGTTTTTTCCTATTTAGTTGAGGAA